TTTACAGGCAAATGACAAGATTAGAGGATGATGTTTATAGCTTTGGGATCATCTTATTAGAGGCAATGCTAGGTTCCTCCATTGCTGCTAAAATGGAGGCGACTCTACGAAATGAATTGGTATGTGATTCCAATCTTTGTGCGCTCGGAAATGCTTCACATCCCTCATGAAAAGGCTATATATTTAATTAAACCTTTCAGTTGGGTAAATTGAGTTTTAAATTGTTTTTTGTCATTCAGGTTCATGTCAATTCAAGTTCAAATCATTTTGGAATTTTCTCATTTGACTTTGACACTCGAATCCAGGTCATTTTTTTGTCTGGCATTTGAATTCAAGCCATTTTAGGTTTTGGGTCATTCTAAGTTTGTATGATTCTGGGTTCAGATCATTTTCAAGTTTGAATCATGTAAGTTCGGATCATCGACTTTTACAGTCAAATCGTCTTTGGTCGGATTCAAAATTGAAACTTTCAAATTCAGATCGGAATCGACAAGTTCCTGCATGGAAACTTATTACAATGATCTTGGTTTGCCAGGCATCTTTAAGCAATCAAGATGGGCGAACAAGGTTGATGAACCCAGTTGTTTCAGCTACAGGATCACAAGAATCGTTATCAACTGCGGTTTCCATAGCAAATAAGTGCATTTGTCCAGAATTATGGAGCCGCCCATCTTTTGAGGACATTCTTTGAAATTTGCAGTATGCAGCACAGATACAAGCAAATGCAGACTCTGAACCAAGATTCGGCTCTGTATAGTTAATTACATCTTGAGAAACAACAAGAAGTTTGTTCTAATTCTTTTATTTAGGGGGTTGAAACATATGAATAAAGGAAAAAATTATAAATTCATCACGATTTGAAAGAACCTTTTAAAGTCAAGTTACCTATTCAAGTCCGATTCTCCATATGATAGTTTCAATTTTATAACATGTTATTCTTGTTTTACTTTTATATTGTATGACTCGAATCTTTTTAGATTCGACCTAAAAAACTGGCAGTACGACCTAGTTCGTAAAAAAAGAGATTTGTGGTAGATGCAGAGGCTTTCTGGTCAGTAGACTCTCTCGATGGTATGATATGATTTTATTTATACCGTCTTGAATTTGATGCCACAAACATGCTTATCAAAACCTCCTATCTTCTTGCTCACATCATACAAATTCTCAATAATTGGGGCTTAATAGTTGGACTTCAATTATGCAGAACTTTCCAAAAAGATATTAAGAGTAGGGGGCAAGGGGATGATGAAAATCAAAGATGGTGACAAATCTTATCTAAAGATAATACATGGAATCACTAGCACAATCCGAATCCAACTCGAATCTAGAAAAACCAAACCTTGAACTAATATTCAAATGATGTGTGAAACTTGATCCGTTGACAATACTCCGTTATTAAGCCTTGAAATTCTAGACATTGACATAAAAAAGAAAGCACTTAGATACCCTTCTTAAGCATCGCCCTAAACCTCATTGGAAGACCATAGAGCCGGATAAACCCGGCTGCGTCAGCTTGATTATATACGTCCCCACTCTCAAAGGAGGAGATATCCTCTATGTACAAGCTATAGGGACTGGTCCGACTAGTTACAGAAAACGATCCTTTGTATAGCTTCAAAGTAACGGAACCGGTGGTGGTTTTGGCAATCTTCTCCATCATGGACTCACGAAGAGGGTAGAACCACATTCCTGCATAAACTAGCTCAGCGTACTTGAGGGCAAGTGAATCTTTAACTTGGATGGTTTCCCGGTCAAGGGTTAAAGACTCCAGTTCACGCACAGCGTTGAATAGGATGGTACCACCAGGAGTTTCATAAACTCCACGACTCTTCATACCGACAAGTCGGTTTTCAACTATCAATACGGCCAATCCCATGTCTCCCACCAATTTCATTGAGTTCAGAAAGAAGAGAAGCAGGTGAAAGAGTCTTTCCATTAAGTGAAACAAGGATACCTAAATCAATTCCGATTCTCACGTATCTGTAGACATTGTGCGCGTAAGCTGTTAAATTGACATATGAAACCCGAGGAAAAACATTTAAAGGGAAGATAAACTTACTGTGGTTCATCAGGTGCATCTTCTGGGTCAACACTCATCATGTACATATCTTTCTTTGGTTCATTTGCTGGATCCTCCAAGATATCTCCCTTCAATGCCAAGATAGATTAATATCGGAGCAAAACAAACAGAATAACGTTAAGTAAAGCAAAAGAGCTTATAGAAAGATTGAGGCGCCAACAAGAAAACAGCCTAATAAGGCTTATTTACCGAACCTCATGGCTTAAGTGTCATAAGTTCCTGTCTCTGCTGTATATCGATTTTTTTGTCACCGGAACAGGCACATTATGCTTCTTAGCATATTCAATAGCATCTTCTCTCCCTGTAATATCCCAATCTCTCCGAGGAGCCACGACATTTAATTCGGGATTTAGAGCAAAGAATGTGAGCTCAAACCGAACCCGGAGGAATAATATACTAATCAGTTTTTTTTTTTTTGAAGAAACACGTATAAATGATAAATTATAGAAGTGAAGTCGTTTTTGATTCACAACTAAAGCTTGGTTGAGAGGCATGCCTGATCATTTCCTTTCCCTGTGCATCCATGGGAAACAGCATCAGCGCCAACCTCTCTTGCTACGTCCACCATGGCCTGTCATAATAAGCAGGTTAGTGCAAATGGTACGGGAAAAAAGTCAAACAATACGGAAATGGAAAATGCAGTTAAAAATAAAGATATCACAGAAGAACAAAAGACTCTTTTATTAACTGGGGGTCATGAATTATCTATCATCATGCCATAATAATCTTGCCACGGAAGAGGTTGAATTTGCTAACACCAATTTGATTCCCTAAAATAGAGAACCTTAATCACATACGAAGAAAGTAAATAGGATTCTGAAGAAAGCAGATAAAGTACAATAGCAGTTCTTAGGTAGCATTTTATGAAGACTTTAATAAGAGCTGTATTCGTGTCAGCTTGACAGAATGTATAACTACCAGAACATAAAATGTACCAAAAACGGTAGTAACCTTTGCAATAACAGGCCGGGCCATTGAGGTCCCCAACAAGTATTTCCTTTCATAAACAGCATCAGCTCGCAAGCATGGAAATATATAGTCTCTCACAAATTCCTCCTTCAAGTCCTTAACTACCAACTGGCAAGCACCGCTTGCCTTGGCCTTTTCTTCCAAACCATCCAACTCCTTTATGCCCTGAAAAAGTTTGAAATTCACACAAATTGCACACATAATAAAGAAGGCATTACACGCATAAACCACATAATAAAAGAACTTAGAGTAAATTAAACTGTTTAGCAAACTTGTTACTCCTACATACTTGGCTAACGTCGGCTGTGAAGCAAACAACCTCGCAACCATAATTCTCCCTGCAAAAGCAAAATGCTTTCATCAGAGGTCCAATAACCATGTCTAAAAGATCAAAAAAATTAATAGTAAAACTCGTGCTTCGGGAATAATGACAGAACAATGATAACTCTTTTGATCAAGAAAATGGAGAGTAGTAACATACATATAACATAAACAGTCGAACTACCTTAGCCATGGAACAATAACAGAAGTGTCTAAGCCACCACCGTAGGCTAAAACAACTTTGTTTAATTTGCCTCGCAGCCCTACACCCTTTGTAGGGTCCGAAACATCTGTCACTGTGTTGCTCGACAAAACAGCTTGAATCCCTGCAAGTCCGCAATGAAAACGCATGTATAATTGAAACGGCTCAAAACTAAAATGCAATTGTGCAAAAGCATCTCTGAAGACGCTAACGAAACCGAGTTGAAGCATATTTTCGAGATGAAATATCCAACAACTAGGCCAAATACAGAAAGCAAAATGTAAGGAATTCTTCTAAAGCTTCTCACAGATAGAACAAGCAGAAACACCGTATAAAACCTAAAAGAAGGAAAGGGGTAATCTCTATGGTGTACTGAAAATGTCGAATTATCGAGCAACGTTAGCCCTCACCTTGACTCTTAGGTGTTACACTGATTGACTCATTGTTGCTGACAATAGCATGACCATGAAATGAACTAGCTTTTCCACTTAACCGTCAATGAAATTTCACAAACACATATTGAACTGCAAATTGAAAGAGCAAAACACAAACAAATTGAACAAAAAAGGGTGGGGACTTTGATAATGTGAAATTAGAACAAAATTACCTCTTGCAAAGATGACAACTTCCTCGAGCAGATCAAGTTATCAGGGTTGAACAATGTGCCTGCAAAATGCAAGAATCAAAACGTCGCATCAGCTAATAAATTCATTAAAAAAATACTAAACATTCAACGAAAATGAAGGGACAATCATACAGTATGAAATTCAAAGAAAAAATAATTCTTTTGGGGCCGTCAGAAGCGATATTGATTGACGAAGTTGGTGAAATGGCCTTAAGTTGAGCCATTCTTTTCCCTCTTTGCCTGGATTTCGAGAGCGAAAACGTAGGCAGGCAAACAACGAAAGGAGATACTAGGGTTTAGGGTTTTATTATAGGGTAAAATACAATATAGGTCTCTCAATTATTAGTAAGATTAAAAATAAACCATTGAAATAAAAAAAATACAAATGAATCACTATTCACTCAATTAAATGTCGAAGGGTAAGTAAACTTCTAGAGTGTTTGTATTTTGGGAACCAATCTTTTAAAACATAAATAATACAATAATTAGACTTTTAATTTGCTTTTCTTATGATGTAGGAGAAAAGAGATCGATAATTATTAATTGCTTGAGAAATTTAAGATTTTTTTAAGAAGAATATGACTTTAATTGTCACATCATCATTTTTTTTAATGACAGTTGACAATGTTCGTAATAAAAGCTACATAAAAATTTAGTGATTGTATTATAAGTTTTTAAAGTTTTAGAAATCCAAAAGGTAACTTCTAAAGTTTGATGACTATTTATATAATTTACTCAAAATCAATAATATCGAAGAGGTGGGAATCTGACCCCTCTTCAAATCTAATCTGATAGAAGCCTTTTAGGGTTTTACTTCCATCACATCACACTCTTTTTACCAAATCCAATTCCAGTTTCAGCTCAGGTTCAGCTTAAACCAAGAAATTATTAATGGGCGGTAAAGGTCACTTCTTTTTCTTCTCTCAAACCCATCGTCTTTTACCCATTTTCTTGTTTATTTTTGGGCATTGATCATAGAGGTTCAGTAACTAAACCCCCATTGTTTTGAAATTTTCGAAATCAGGTCATCCTTCTTCTTCTTCAAGTTTATGGTTGGCATCCAATCCGAGCAAGAGATGGGGCGAGCTTTTCTTTCTCTGTTACACTCCGTTTTGGCTCACTCTTTGTTTGGGCATCGTCGTTCCTTTCAAACTTTACGAGGTTTGTTTCCATTGATTATTACATTTTGTTTCCTCTGCTCCCAATTTGTAGTAAGTCGATCTTTTCTTAATAATGAATTTGAAGGTCTTTTTTTTCACATGCCAAATGGTTTAATGAGATTCCGTTCTTTAAGTTTTTGGCTTCATGTTACAATCAAATGACGTGATTGATTACGTTTGTTTTTAAATTGTTGAACAATTTGATCGAAATGAGAGTATGGGTAAGTGGAGAAATGCTAGTTGGCTTAGTGTAATTGCTAAAGTGGATGAGGATGATTCACTGTTGACTGACTGTGGCATTCATGGATATTCTTTTCTCCATCTTTTAACTTGTTTAATGATCAACTTCGGGCTTGAGAATTGAATTTAGGATTAAAATATAATCATGGTCCTCGACAGAACTTTACGGAATTGGAATATTTGCTTCTGGGCTTGGTTTCAGCAGTTCCTTCATTCTTGATACCAATGCTAGTTGTTGGAAAGGTAAGCTCTCGACTCATGTGACCTTTCATATATATTATATTTGTCTCATTTCAGACCTTTTAAAGCAGTCGTCATTCATATCTGTATAATTCTTTATTATTCAAACTGAAAATAATTAAGAAAATAAGTTTATGCCTGATGTATTAGAATGATTTAGAGTACGCCAAAGAGTTGTAAAGTAGTCCATGTCATGATGAGGTTGATTACTTTGATAACTGGATTCTTTTAAACACGAATTGCTTGAACCAGATTTCAAAATCCACACTAGCTAGTTAAAGCCGGGCCAGACATTTTTAGGGTCTTATGGCTCCATTTCTTGCAGCATATACGATTGTTTTCTCATTTTCTGTGAGGATTTATCACTTTTGCTTCCTTTCTCAGGCTGACTGCAGCTTGCATTGGAAGGACCGTTATTGGGTTAAGGCAAGTGTTTTACTAGATATCATTTTACATAATATATGTTTGTTAAACGGATTGTTGATGCTTGCCTTGGAATGAGTGTTATTGTGTTCTCATTAGTTGTCGATGTATTGTGATTTCCATGGACTACCAAGATGTTGTACAATTTCCTTTACCTCTTACATTTATTCGATGCTACGTTGTATTTACTTGATTTCCTTCTTTGAATTATCAATAGGACAGTTTGCATCATAGTTTAGACTGAATTGATAGTTACACGATTAGATGTAGAATGCTTTCCTCATGCTCGTAAATTTTCTATGCCTGTTCTTGGTTTCTTTCAACTTTGAATGATCTCAAGCATGACAATATCAGCAGAATCTCCTGTAGTGATCTGAACATGATTTATATCTCCAACTTGTTATTCTTGGTCTTAACTTCAATTATTTTACATTGTTGCAGGCCAGTGTCTGGATTGTAATTTTTAGTTATGTGGGGAACTATTTTTGGACCCATTATTTCTTCACGGTTTTAGGAGCTTCTTATACTTTCCCATCCTGGAAAATGAACAATGTAAGCTACAGATAATAACGATTTATTCCAGCTTCCCAGCTAAATGCTATTTCGGCTGTGCAAGTCTACTTCATTTATACGTTTCCGTTTATCCATTTCTCTTTGCAGGTGCCACACACGACGTTCCTTCTCACACATGTTGTCTTCCTGTTTTACCATGTTACATCAAACATGACACTTCGCAGATTAAGACATTCTATTGCTGGCTTGTCGGAGAACATTCAGTTAGCCACTGAGGTGGCATGGATTTTGGCCCTTTCTTATTTCATAGCATATCTCGAGACTTTAGCTATTTCTAACGTATGTGGTAACGTGGTTTCATGCTTTTGATAACACACCTTGAGCCTTTGTTTTCTTTTAATTCAGAATGTTATACTTTGTCTCAGGTCTGAACAGTGGTGAATCTCGAAGTTAGCCTAGTGATATACTTTATGTTGAATATGTGCAGTTCCCGTATTATGATTTCATGGATCGTGCATCCATGTATAAAGTGGGATCTTTGTTTTATGCCATATACTTCATCGTGAGCTTCCCTATGTTTCTGAGGTAAGAAATTAATCCAACTTTATGTTTGTTTGTCTATCCGATAGTGTGGAACCGTATTCGTAGTAATTAAAATGCTTTTGTTTCAGCCGTTCCTTTTAGATATCTCGATCAGAATAACGTAACTCCACATTGCAGTAAAGGCTCTTTTGCTGCAGATATTTTTTGTTTGAACAGATTGAGGTGTCTTTAAAGCATGAAAGGAAAAGCATGCCGGTTTTCTTTTATAAACAGATAGTGTAGTAATTGTTGTAGTTTGGTGATTATCCATTTTGCAGGATTGATGAGAAACCTGGTGATCTATGGGACCTACCTCGGGTTGCCGTTGATTCTCTGGGTGCTGCAATGTTGGTCACGATAATACTCGATTTATGGCGCATCTTCCTTGGACCTATTGTTCCACTGGCAGATACAAAACAGTGCATTCATCCTGGTCTACCATGGTTTGGAGGTAGTGCAAATGTAGCTTCACAAAACCAATGTGCGAAATAAGAGATCCGGGTTCGACTCCTCATCATGGTTCTCCCTGGTGTTCAGCAAAAATTGTCCGAAGTCTGGTTGAGGCATGTATGATCGTTGCTCGGTGTGAGATTAGCTAGTCAATGAAGCGATTGTGTGCTTTATTTATGTTGGTGTATCAAGAAAGCTCCTTTTAGTTGTCTGAGAACAATGTTGGTTCATTGTAATGGAAGTAAAGCAAACTTGTTTGACTCAAATGACTTAGTGTTTTAATGCCTTTTAATTCGATTTAAATGGTTTTTCAGGTAAGAATAAAATTTCTTGTTTTGTACGAATAATAAATTATTGATTAAATAATATAGGTACATTTGAGTGTATACATTTTATATTTATTTTTTAATTAAATAATATTTATATTATTAGTATAGAGTTTCGGTTTAAAAATACATTTAATAATAAATTAAAGTCAATTGTGTTGGCTAAAAGAATTTTGAATACGAGTAAAGTACACAAATAGTCCCTGACTATAGGCAACTATTTTGTTAAGTTCCCCAATTATTAAAAATTACAAAATAATTCTTTAACAATGAGATGTTTTACTGAGTTCTTCGATTATTAAAAGTTACAAAATGATCATCTAATTATTTATATATTTCAAAATCGTCATTCGTTAAAAAATTAACGATTGTCGTATATGAACTTTAACATACAAACTGAGATATAATAGGCATTTAAGATTCTAATATCAGATTTTATCATATCTCAATTTGCAAGTTAACATTTAACTCAAACCGTCGATAATTTTTTAACGAAAAAACATAAGAATAATCAAGTGATTATTTTGTATCTTTTAATAGTCGGGATACTTTACCCTTTGAATTTTAAAATCAATACGAATCGACATATTTGAATTTTAAAATTGATCTAAATTAAAATCGATGACCAAACAAAAAATGATTAATCCCCTTCTCTAATCATATTCTAACTACACAAATCAATGGATTGCAAGCAAAATTAAATCCATTTTTGTAAACTTATAGTAATTACACAAATATTACAACCAAAAAATAATGGTTCTGATTTAATCCTCTTCTCTAATCATATTCTAATTGTCTTAAAAAAGAAAGAAATGGGTACTATTCTCTATATCAGACGCTTCACTAAGTTGCACAAAAAACAACATAACATAATGGCCTGCTTCTGCTCTGCCTGCTCTTTATACATTTGAGAGAGTTGAAGGATCAATCCAACTTATGAGCCAAATCATTGCCACATTTCAATCGTGCTATCAGTTCATCCTGCACAATCAATGCATCTTTAGACGGGTCAAGAATTTAATAGTAATTAGATTGTTGTTTGTTTGACCCTCCAAATGAAAATTAACTCTTTTGAGAACGTGTCAAAAGCATATCCGTATCAAACTCCGTATTCGAGTCCGAGTAACATAAACTTAACCAAAAGTATGCAAATTGGTATGTATATATTCAGAAAAAGAAGAATCACTGCATAATTAACCGATAGGATTAAAATTAAAACAATATTGGAGGACGGTTTCCAAGAAAGTTATCTCAGGAACATGCCTTTTTTCCTTTGGGTGAGAGTCTTCTTTCCTTAAGAAGGGCACGAAGTCTCTCCACAGTCAAACTATGATAGTCCCTCTCAGCTGCACGGCTGCTTGATCCCTCTGCGAATTTTCAAGTCGTTAGGGGAACTTGATAATAACTCTTAGAAGAATGAAACCATTATTCCCACCATAAACTCTTAAAAAGGATACAAGGATGGGATTGTACCCTAAACTTTTATTTTTAATATGTAAAATGAAATATCAGATATAGACCATAGTTCTGACATTCTAGTTTATTGACAATGGCAATTCCATACATGGAACTATGCGTTTGAATACAAAGATATGAACTAGTGGATACATCTATTGACTAACCCGATCGAGAACTACTTTGTGTATTGACTTTCTTTGTAGAAGCCTTGCTATCTGTAATTTTTTCAGCGGCCCTGAGAAGGAAAAAATGGCAGACATCAAGCACAATCAAAGGCAATACAATGCCTTTCTCTCAAGATATCTATAAGAATGGATAAGCACGTGAAGCATCCATCCAACTTGCTTCAAACAGCAGGCTGAGTGAAGCTTTGAAAGGATGTTTGAATCCTGATCCTCAAATGAAGGTTAAAATAATACATATATAAGATAAATTGAAACAAGTTAAATATAGTCACACCGAAGAAAGATAAAATTAATACCTTTTTCTAGAACCCTCAGCTGCAACTTTCACATCCTTTGAACTGGAATCTCCCTTCTTGTCGTTAAGCATGAGTGATCTAATAAGTATGTTTTGTTGGTTTTTCTTTATATGCTGGCTCTCTGGATGTACGAGTAAGATTATCGATCTCATGAATAAGAACGAATCTTAAAACTATGTTCTTGTACTAGTCATATTCTTCTTGGGAATCCACAAGATAACAAGCAAAAAAAATGCATGCATATATAAAACTTGATATTATAAACAGGAGACTATAACATAGACATTTGATGTTTCGTCTACTTTATTACATTTCTGCATAAAAGCTGAATCAGTAACATATAAAATCATAGTAGCGATCTAATAACCATCTGGCACCAATTAATTTTATATCATCTAAAGATATGTGAATCAGTTACAGCTAGGATGAAATATGGGTATAGGTATCTGTATCTCCTTAAGATAGATAGAGATATCCTAAATATACTCTCATCGGGAATACATTAAGCTCCAACACGAGGATTGAGGACTCACATAAATAAACTGTTACTATGAATTCCAAAATATATATATTTTTTTTGATAGGAATAGGAGGCCTCGTTAAAAACCTCCCTCTTAGTTGGCTCTTGTGAAAGAGGCAACTAACGGAAGGAGGAAAAGAGTGCCTCATTTTATTAATAAGCCAAAGTTACATAAGATACAACTTACATAATAAACCTCCCAAAATAAAATACAGAACAATACTACAATAAACTCTATACATCAACCAATCCCTTCCTTAGCTAGCTTGTCTGCTTCCCAATTACAACTCCTAGGAATCCAATTAATAATAATACCTCTAGCATATACAACGGCCCCAATTTCCTCAACCAGTGAACTAAAAAACGTTGGGGCAGAAAATGGCCACAGCATTTTTACAATCACTCTCCATGATTAGTCTTCCCTTCATAGCCCAATCCGATGAAAGGAATATATCAATTCCTTGTTTAATGGCTTTTAACTCAGCAAACGTAGGGGGACCAGGACCCACAGCAGTAGAGAAATAGGTTAAAGTTGAGCAATTTGAGTCTTTCAAAACTCCTCCAATCTCTCCTTGCATCCCATCACCTGTCACCGCTCCATCAACATTGAATTTGAAAAAATCATGAGGGGTAGAGACCAGCAGTTAACCTTCTTCTTAGACAAATTTGAAATGATTATGTCTGCAAGCGATGGATCCCCTATTAATAAATCAGCCTGAATATTAGCATGAGGGAATTTAGCTAAAAACCATTTAGCAAGCCTAAATCTGGAAATGAAGAATAGAGATGAACTGTCAAATTTCCAATTTTCAAACACCACTGAATTCCTAGCTTTCCATAAAGACCAGAAAACCACACCAGGGATAAAATTCCAGATGGTGGAGTACTCCCTTAGGTAAGACCAAGAGCATAGTAGGGAAGAAGGGTCATGGGGCATCACTGAAGAAATATCCCAAAACCTTAAAAATCTATTCCACAACTCCACTGCAACCGAGCAAGAAATAAAAAGATGATGAATTGTTTCGTCATGGTTGTGGCATAAAGGACACCGAACATCATCCAAATTAACCCCTCTTTTCTTTAGTTCCACTCTAACAGCCAATTTCTGATGAGTAATTTGCCATAGGAATGTTGCCACTCTAGGAGGTGCCAATCCAGACCACACATACTTCCTCCACTGAAATGTATCGTCTTGCCTACATGAGAGAGTCATTCTGCATGCCTTAACCGAGAACATACCGTCACCTTTCCCCGACCACCCAAGGAAATCATCCACTGATTCGGACAGGCTAATATTATCAATCAAAAGCATTAATGAAGTCCACCGATCCAATTCCCAGTCACATAAATTCCTTCTTAGTTGAATATTCCAAACCCAACCATTAATTTCAAAGGAACCGAAATCTGCCACTTTTCCATCTTTAGTGGTCGATAGAGCAAATATCCTAGGAAACTGATTCTTTAGGGGAGAACCAAGGACCCAAACATCATTCCAAAATTCTATAGATCTACCATTCCATATTATTATCTTCGAGTTTGACCTCAAGCACTCACCTACCTGGTCCTTCTTCTCATAATTGTTCACAATACCTCTCCATATCCATGAATCTAGAGGAGAAACTGCTTTGCTTATTGATAAAGATAGGTTGTTGACAATGTGCTTGTGAGAAACAAATTTTTTGCACTGAATTTCTTTTTCATTTAAATACTTCCAAACATATTTCCCCAGCAAAACTTTGTTAACTAAATTCAAGTCTAAGATTCCCAGTCCGCCCTCTTCATAAGGTTGGCACACCTTACTCCAATTTACCCAATGAATCCGTTTCCTGGCCTGACCTTCACCCCAAAGGAATTTAGCCATTAAAGAATTGAGTTTCTGGTTCACTTTAAAAGGTAATTTGAAGATAGAAAGGTAGAAAGTAGGTAATGAGGACAGCACCGATTTCACCAACACCATTCTTCCAGCCAATGATAAAGAGGAAGCTTTCCAACCCGCTAATCTGTTGTAAACCTTTTGCATAACTGGCTCCCACAACAAATATGAATTTTTGCTAGCACCTATCGGTAATCCAAGATAAATCATAGGCAAAGAACCCACCCCACAACCTGCTTCGGATGCCCATTCTTTTACTATATCCTCTTCCAAATTGACTCCAAGTAGCTTACTCTTAGACAGATTAAGGTGAAGCCATGAAATTAAGCTAAACACCCTCAATATTCTTCTGATATTGAGAATTTGAGTTGAAGAGTCTCTGCAGAATAGAATGAGATCATCTGCAAACTGTAAATGAGTCAAAATAAAAGGATTGTCATCCTTTCGAATACTGAAGCCTTCAAAAAGACCCATATTAACAACCTTACACAATATTAAATTCAAGAGTTCCCCAACAATATTAAACAATAAAGGAGATAAGCTGCATCCTTGCCTTAACCCTTTACCCATCTGAAATTATTCTATAGGAGAGCCATTAACCAGAACTGAAATTCAAGCAGTAGAAATGCAGTAATGGATCCAAGAAATTCATTTCTCCCCAAAACCCATCACCTTTAATAATCTCAGTATAATTGGCCATTCGACTAAGTCATATGCTCTACAAAAATCAATCTTGAAGACTACTCCTTTCTTTCCTTTTTTCCTCCAAAAATCAATGGATTCATTAGCCATAAACGCACAATCAAGCAGCTGCCTGCGAGGGGCTGATTAAACCTTTAATAACTAAAACCAGCCTTCTCGATAAGATCCTTGAGATAATTTTGAATAAGCTACCAACTAGGCTGATTGGTCTATAGTCTTCAATAGCTTCTGGATTAAGCTTCTTGGGAATCAAAGTAATAAACGCATGATTAACCCCTTGCTCCCAACTCCTACCTCTATGAAAATCATTAACAAACTTCATGAGATGATCCTTCAGAATATGCCAGAATTTTTTAAAAAACCCATCGTGAAATCGTCTGGACCCGGGGCTTTGGCACTATCCGAATGAAAAACTGCTTCCCACACTTCTTGTTATGAAAATTCAGCCTCCAAACCATTCTTCTGTTCGTCTGTTAATTTCATGAAGTTAAAATTTAATTCTTCCACCTCTAATGTAGCTTTAGAATTGTAGTTCTCCTTAAAGTAGTCAAAGACAAAGGCTTTTAACTGGTTCGGGTCTGAAACTTCTTCATCATCGATCTTCAATGCCGAAATAGAGTTCAATCTGTTCCTATTAATAGCAGTTATGTGAAAAAATTTCGTGTTCCTATCCCCGTCTTTGATCCATTTCAATCTTGATCTCTGTAACCAAATGCTCTCTTCTCTGCTGTGCAGTTTCCACAAATCACTCCTGGACAATATCAGCGTATCCCATTCTTGACTTGTAAGTCCACCATTTTGTAACTTCAGTTCCAGACCATTTATTTTACCTTCTAATTTTGAAATCTCTTCAGAGATCCCTCTTATATTCCTGTTGGGCCACTTCCTTACCTGCTGTTTTGTTCTTCGAAGTAAAGAAAACAGTCCCCTTCGACCAACACCCTTCCTAAGCTTAGATAAAGAATTTTCAACCAACCCAACAAACTCATCTTCCTCTAACAAGTAGTTGAAAAATCTAAATGGCTTAGGTCCCCAATTGTTGCATTCTTCTACTAACATTACCGGATTATGGTCCGAAAGAGATTTGGGAAGCATTTTCTGAATCACATTGGGAAATTTGTCTAGGAAAGAACTGCTAAATAAAAACCGATCTATACTTACCCAAGTGGGAGAGTCCATGTTGTTGCACCATGTAAATCTTCCTCCGACTAACGGAAAATCCATAAGATTGAAGTGTTGGACAAAGGATCTAAACAAATCCAAGGAATGCCAATTTTGTGATACTCCACATTTCTCCTCAGGATCTAAATATGCATTAAAATCCCCCCTATGCAAACTGGCAGATTTAGACCTTGAACAAAGCACAACAATTCCCTGAAGAATTCCTCTTTATCCGCCTCTACTGATGGACCATAGACATTTATTATAACACAATCAAAATTTAGCAACTTGAACTTCCCTGATAATGCCATGAATCTGTTCTGGTTATGTTCTGCTGTGACCTCAAAAAAATCTGTCCACCTGCAGGATTGAAGCTACCACCTTTCAAAAAATTTCCCCCTAACTTCCTCCATAAACCAGAATGACAAACACTCAGCTTTGTCTCCTGTAGTAATAGAATAACCGGCTTCTCTCTATTAACAAGTCTGGCCACTGCTTTGATTTTTTCTCTTCTTCCAAGACCCCTGACATTCCATGTAATTATTTTTAACTTTGACATTATAACTAAATATCATGAACACCAAAACAAACAAACATCTATCATGATCCCCTTGAAGACCCCTTCATCTCCATCTTAAATATCTCCTCTTCTAATAGATGTTGTCCTTCCCTAATAAGATCTGAAGTAGTTCTCTCCTTATTCACATTGTTCCTGATTCTTACACTTGAACTTGAGAGGCTTCCCTCATTACGACAACACTGATTATCCTCCATAATCTTCTTCATCTTCTTTGATCCATCCGATTGATCATCTGACAAATTGCCCCTCTCTGCAGAATTATGATTTTGAGTATTGCATACATGA